ATTAGTTTGTTGAGAAAAGAGAGAAAGTAATCTGGAAAAAGTCTTTGACAAGAGGCTAGAAAAGCTCAATCCACAGAGCTAACACAGCTGATGGATAAAATGCAGGTCCATTATGTCTTATTAATAGCTACTAGGAAAGCAAATTTTGATAGCTTGCTATATAGCAAGAAAGACATAATATTATACAGCAGACTATAGAAAATAAAGATTAGAAATGAAAAATTGTTTGGTTTTTTTTTTTTAATATTAACATTTAATTGCTGAAAGAAACAACCTTGGAGGAGAATTAATTCACCACCTTTAAATCAAAAACGTGTGTCTAAATTTGTATTTCAGTCAAAGCCTAACTACTGGCACAAGAAACCGACTACAGCCTATGAACTTCTCCCTTCTCCTAAAGTGGCTCTATTAACAGACTACACAGACATACTACCTCTCACATGCTTTTTCTGTGATCCCATTGATGTTGTAGTTTGTTGCACAGGAGGTTCATTTTAAAAGGAAGAGCATGAAATGTCTACCCCAAGCACAGCCTGCCTTGTGAGGACTGAAGAGGCAATTCTGCACTATCTGAAACTGAAAAGATTTTGGCCTTCTGTGTTCTGGGTCAATGTTCTAACCAAAATCGTTATGTTCCTCGTCACCTACCCCATTTAATAACAAATAAATAAATAATTATTACAAAGTTGATCTTTGCTTAAGTGTTTCAAAAGACACAGATGTCGGCCAAAAGCTTTTGTGGCTTTGGTTCCTGAGCAGATGGACTAAGCACTAGCCTAGTCTTGGTCCCTAAGAACTGAAGGGAGGAAAAATACCTGAAACATGCCTGGTTCTAAGCATTTTGTCCCTTATTCCTTAATTCTATAGTCAGAGCTCTTGGCACTGTTTTGTTCTCCCTGATAACTCTTGTGTTTATTTAAACTGGCGAAGATGAATTGTTCTTCGCAACAGAAGCAAAATAAGAAGATGATTAATAGAAAAAAACTTGTGATTCAGTAGCAGAAATAATCCAAGTGCAAGCAAAGGCAGCTAGATGACAGCAATTATTTCTACTATTTTTGTTATCTCTCAGAGTCCGCAGGTTTCTCTCTCCAACCAAAATTCAAACTACTTAATTTCAACACAGAAATATTTTCATAGGTGTCACCAACCATTCACAGCTAAAAATAAATAAACCTGCAGTATAAAACTATGGGTTGGGTTGGTTTAATTCCTTACATTTCATTTAAACAAATTATGGTTACTATATGCTATGTTTTACAACTAAGGAATTAGCAGATCATGGAGTCAGGTATTTAATACTTTTGACCGCTGTAATTATTTAAAACAATTTTTCATTAACTCTGGAAAAAGGAGACGACGTAAAAAACCCTCACAAGACACCACTTACAAGGCAAAAGACTAACACCTTACCTCCTTTTAACTAATTTTCACTTCTTTAAAAACAAACAAACAAACAATAAAAAGGTTAGTGTGCTGTCTTATCTCTAAAAAGGAACAGAAGTACCTCCTAAACAAAATACAAAGGTATTTCAATTCATAAATATTCTTCCACTTGGTCTAAATCCAACTATGAAAAAGTAACAAATCAAAGATAACAAATTAAAGCATTCTGCAGTTCCTGTTCACAAACAGAACCACCTAGCCTGAATATTGCAAACCCAGAAGTGAATTTAGAAGTTCTCAACAGTACTGAGGTTTCAGGTGCAATTAGAAACAGTAGATAAGAAAAACAAGAAGGGATGCACAGAAAAAGACAAATCAATCCTCTGTGTACTTGGAAAAAAACCATTCCTCTTTTCAGACACTTTCTCCCCAGATCACATAAGCAGTTTTTGAAGAAAATGTGGAGCAGCACAGATTTAAAAAAGTGTTTGTCTCAGTTCTTTTTTTTGGTTTTGCTTTTACATAGATTCTCAGTCATTTAAAAAAAATTGCAATCTGTCTGAAGGGTATAGAAGCCTAATGCTTGCAATAATGATAAATACAGCTATTCCAGGTAATCATATGCTCCTGATCATATGCACTAGTGTAATATTAGGGGTGTGCTCATTTATTAAAAACTACTATCCCTATACAACGGCCATCTCTCTGAATATCTAAAAAATGAACTGGGATTCTAGAGACCATATGGGACAGTAAGGGGTCAGAAATACTGCAGAACAATCATCATCTTTTATATTGAATGGAGGCTGTACTATGCTACACATAAATGCAGAAAAACCCGCCTGCCTGGGGCCTCCTCAGTACAGTTACTATGCCGGGAACAAAAATCAATGAAGAGACCTTATTCTTGGCTATTCAGCATTACATATTTGAGTTGTTTCTAGTTATTTCCCTGATGTGTCTTTCATTTCCGATCACTACTTTTTTAATACTAAGAGAGACATACACGTCTCTCCTGCTAACAACTGACAGGATCAAGTGACATTTAAAGGGTGCTAGTAACATATATCCTGTTTTCTGCAAACACTTGGATGCAGACTTCATGACAAAAGAGTTCAGAGCGGTAAGTGCAATCACTGCAGATGTATCATCACTCTGCAAACACTGTTAACACTAATGTCATCTCAGTTTACATAGAACTTAAGACAACTAATCATTAAGAATTTAAATGAGATTATTTTCAACCACAGAGGCATAAAAATGCCAGAAAAATGACACTTTCAATAAATTATTTTTAAGATGTGTTTGAATTCATCAGAATGCACAGATTCTCTCAAACTTGGCAAAGAAAAAAAGCACTTTTAAGAGACAAAAAAAACGCAATTCAGCATTTGCCTATGTATTTCTTGAAAAATCCATTTGAAGTAAACTCTCAAACTAAAAATAAAACCTGTCATAGAAACAGAGGCACAATCCTATGGGCTACACACATTCAATAAAGAAAATAAAAGCTAACAAAATGCAACTGAGCAACCACTGTAAAGCCATTGACTTCCAAATAACAGAAAGTACATGGACATGTATTATTATTTCTTCAGAAGGAAAAAAGGCAGAAATAAAAAAAAAATCTGAGCACTTTCTGAACTTTTAAAAAATACTAAGAAGTTTTTTTCAGAAAAGCATGATTCAGAAAAGTACAGATTGCATATCCATCATTCAGAGAGTGCTAAAACCAACCAACATCATGTTAAAACACACAAACCAAAACCCCTGTGTGTCATCTTAGGAAATATGCCAGAACTTTTTGACATATATAGCATTATGTTTTTCTTATGACATTTATGGAATCTTCTTGTTTCTATTTAAGAGGGGAAAATACACAAAATCAAAGCATATTTATCTTTAAAACACAATACTGAAGATTAGAAACTAGGTATATATGCCAATATAACCTTTTTTTTTACTCGCATAACACTATGCTTTATTACACTACAGTATGTTGGCCACAAACATGTACTGAATGCAAAGGATCATAAAACTCTCCCTAATTAAATACAATCAATCATCAGTATCATTTTAAAAGAAGCAATGCACTCAATTCACAGTTCTTGGTAAATTACTATTACTTGCTTATTCCAAAATTACTGACAATAAGAAAACCATATATCCCACAGGGATTATTTCTATTATTTTTCCTTTAAATGCCTTTCAGTCACACATAAAAGCCTCTCTAATATCTCACTATAAGCACAAAACTTATCCCAAGAAAAATCTATATTCGTAATGTGAGAGAAAAAACACTACAACTGTTTTAATTTCTTCTCACTGTAAAAATCTAAGTCATCTTTGGTAAACAAAATTAATTGCCAAAAGATACATCTCAAGCATAATCCCCTACACATGCTTTTGAAACTGTGATTATTTATATTCATTACCTGAACAGTTTACAAAATTGTATCAGCTAATGCAGAATGCTTGTGTATTTGAAAGGTATTTTCTTTAAATATTTTGAATTTCTGACAAAACCAGTGAAGATTCATGATATAAATGTTCAATCTAGCTTCATTTTACTACAGAAAGCCGTAAGCTTGTGGCTACTCACCATAAATAAACTATAAACAACATACGTAAGAAAAACAAACTCTATTATTGTTCACTTTCTACAAAAAGTTTTAGTAAGATCTAGACCCAACTAAAACCTAAAACAGTATTTAGCTATTTAAAATCACTTGTTTTGCAGGCCAAAAAAAGACACTGTTGCAATGAAGCTCAACCTAGGTACAGTAACAAAAGAACTATCAAAAGAACTGTAAGCTCTCACGTCATAAAAATATTTAGTGAACTCTATAATGGCTCACAGTGCATCTAATTCTACCAGCAGCAGCAAGAGACCCCTGGGTTTGCCAGCAGGTTCACTAACTCCTGAGCCCATCTGTTGAGGCAAGTTTTCTATGACAAAATGTGTGTCTTTTTTCTTTGCTGCTGCTTCCTCTTTTTTGGACAAAGGCATCCTCTGTACAGCTCCAAGAACTGAATTTCTAGACTGCTGTGTTTCCTTCCACATGAGTATTAGCTGATTTTTAGTTGCTACAGGCTGTAAAAAAGTATTTAAACACATTTAATGCAAAATGCTACACTGTTTATGCAAGTAGCAACTGTAAAAGTGCAGCTTCAAATGTCCGAAAGATCTTGGAACTTAAGTTAAAAAAAATAATTACATAGAAACACAGTCACTCCTTAAATGCTCTCTTGTGTGAACCTTTATTAAATTAGATTAATAAACTGGGATTTATGTCAGCTTATTTCAAAATTGCTGACTTTTAGACATCTAAGCCTGAAACAAACACTCCAAGCTCTTCTATAATCAAGACAGAAGTACAAACCATCACAGTGTGATTTATTTCACCTTTCTTCAAAGAGGAATAGCTCTTTCGCACTCCTTGGTTTTTTTGGGGGTTTTTTTTTGTTTGTTTGTTTGTTTTGTTTTTTTTGTTTTTTATGGTTGAATGGGGAGGAAGTTCTAGGAACCACCTTTTAGATGACAAAGTTAGGAAAAATACTTCCACCAACACTGTCCAATATTGGTTCCAGATACATTAATTTCAATAACTTACCTTCTACTGTTAGAGTACCCATTTTGGATTCCAAGAAATCAAACAGTGTGCTTGGTGCGGACGGTCTGGCGTTTCCTAGCTCTTCCTCATCTTCAGGTCTTATTCGGCCTCGGCCCTTCCCTTTACCTGGAAACATCATAAGTTATTTGTGAGTGGGGAATAAATAGAAGTGTACATACACACTTTTTAAAAAAAAGTTATACCTGATCTATAAAATGTTTGTATTTTCTATCTTTAAAAAATTCGATCATGGACAAAACAGATACAGATATTTTGCATTTAAGGATATTCAAATCTGTGACTTGAAATTAAAAAATTTTGACAAGAACACAACAGACAGAGGTCTTTCCTAATTGCTTTCAGGTTTGCAATGCATTCTAACTTGCTGGAAAAAACATGCAGATATGCCCTTCTACAGCTATATTAGTAATCTATCATACACAAATTCCTGTTTGTAAATGCTGTTTTTAAAGCATTTCTTTGCAAGTTATACCTCTAGGTGGTGGTCCCTGAATGGGTTTCTGTTTACTGCTGTTCAGAAGAAAATTTAATGCCGCCTCTAGGCTGTTACTGTTATCCATAAGTGCCTGTCTTGCTGCTTCTTTGCTGAAGCCCATCTCTGTTATGTGTTTTAGAGCCTTTTCATCAACCTGAAATAAAAGGTATACACAGAACTAATTAGAAGATACAACAGAGAATCTACAAAAACACCAGATTTGACTTTTTCATTAATTTTTATTTGAAAAACAATTTCACAAGTCATTGATGATAAATATTTCAGTTTTATATAAAATCTTTACATACAGTCTCTCTTAGGCCCAGAGAATCAGCTAGCAGAGGAGGTTTTTTTAATATTGTTATTATTATGGTTTTAATTCATCAATTCTCAGTTCTAATATTATGTGGTTTCCAGCACAAATTATCCTATTCTACTCCTTCCTTCACAGGTTATTATAGTTTCTTGGAGATGAAAACTAAAAGGAATATCTCAAAGCAATGCTGGTATAAAAACTCACCATCTGTTCCTGTTTGAACCCGTTCACAACTTTTACAGAGACTACAAAACCCAGTTACAAACTTCTTAAAACATGGAGAAAATATAATTGCTAAAGGTTCTGTAAAATACAGAATACAGGCTTTCTTATTCTAAACTGTATAGATCATGATGACAAAAAGGCAAAGTAGGAATCACTGAGAGCATTAATTACAGTAAATAACCTTACATCTACACTGTGTGTTAAAGCACTCAAGGGAGAACTGTCTCTTCCAGAGCAGACAGACCTACATGCACTAAACATGAAATGGGACTTGGCCTTCTGCTCTTCCTCATCCTATACCCAACCAAAATGATGCCAGTTATTCATCTACTGCAACAGCTGTAACCAAATACGTTCTTAACTGGAGTTCCACGAACATAACATTTAGCCTACAGGTTCCAAAATTGCCATATTGTCACCCTTAAAGAAAAACCAAAAAAATCCCAAAAGCCAACCAAACAAAAAAAAACCCATACCCAACCAAACCTGACCTCTAAGACACATAAGCCCTTCTCTCTCCTTCAGCTTAAAACAACATGAACTTCTATTGCTAGAATGATTTAAATAACAACTCTGTCAGAGTTGTACGATGAATAACATTTAACCCTTCCTCTCCCTTTTTCCACAGTCTTAGGATGTAATTTCTCCTGATGTTTTAATTCATTCACTTTTTGTATTAGTTTTAGCTACACACTTTGCTCTGGGACAACAGATATGAGCAGGTCTCCTTTTGGGGGCAGAGACTGTCGCAAAACACAAAATCAGCGTTTGTCATTGCTATCTCAATACAGAGGTTTCTCAATACAGTAAACCAGAATACATAACAACTCAAAGTAACTTTCATAACTATGCTTAGCTATGCAGAAAATCACTGTAATGAGCAAGACATGACTTTGCAGCACTTGGCTACAACTCACACATGCTCAGCAATGTCAACTCCAGCGCTTTCAGGTGGCCTTCTTCATTCCCAAACTCACCAATACTCTTAAATGAGCTGTCCAAAGACTGACTAAGTAAAGGAACAGCAATTTAAAAGGTCTTTGAAGACCAATGGGGCAGAAACAACCTCAGTGTCTACAGGGAATCATCATCCCGCTTGAGTTTGACTTCCAGTTGCCTAAATAATGTTTTATTTTTAATGCAAGAATATAATAGTTCCTCCTCGGAGCCATTCTCCTAGATTCTTCTGTATGGCAACAAGGGGACAACACAGATAAGTACTTCCTCAGCATATCTGCTTCACTCTTCTCCCCTTTGTAGCTAAGTAGTTGGTTTGGATGAGGAAAAAACTTCTAGCCATTACTGCTGCATCATCTCCTTTCAGTTTTATATAAATTGGAAATTCTGTACACAACAGCTACGTTCAAAGACCAGCAGGAAACGAAGACTCGTATCAACAGCACCTGTACTCTCAGCTACATATAAAAAAAGTCTTAGATAGGTCACAATTTGAGACCCAAGTTCCAAGATTTCCAAAGATTTCCAAGACTGTTTGAGAAAGGAAGTAATATGTTAAGTATCTTTGGATGTCAACACCACTCCCTTCAGCTTCATTTACACAGCACAAATCTTGCTTCTCCTATTCAAAACTGGAAAGACAAAGAAAATTGTAGGACATAACCTACAAAGACTATTAAGAGAGGAGGATGATTGACCTCCGCTATCTGTTGACTGTCTATGAAGAAACAGTAAAAAATACTTCATTGCTTCTTGTTTTGTAGGTAAGGTACAGTGTTTCAGCTTTCTTGGAAGATAACACAGCAGATGGATTAAAAACTTTTAACTGTTTCTAAATATATGCAAAAGTCAACAATATGCATGAAAGTCAACAATCAAACTTACTTGATGTTACAATTCTAAAAAGACATAACAAATTCATTATCCATTGCTTTAAGACCTAAAAATCAATCAAAGAAGGCTTTCTATATAGGCTTAGTGGGTTCATATTTCCTTCCTCTAAACAGCATCTAGGTACGTTAAATGACATAATATCAAGTTTTGGTAAGTTGGAAGTACTGCCACTTACAGTGCAATGTAAGACAAGTTTCTTGCAGTTCATAGGAAAAATAGAAAACAGAATACTTGAAACAGTTACTCAATTTAAATTTTGTGGGGTTTTGTTGTTGTTGGGGTTTTTGTCTGTTTGTTTGGGGTTTTTTTAATTGTACTTAGGTCGAGACACAGTTGTCAAGAACGACAAGGTATCACTGGTGCTATACCAGGGCAGAGGGATGACTAAATGACCTCCTGAGGTCCTTTCAGCCCAGGTTTCTACAATTCTATATGGACATTGCTGAGCACAGTGCTGAAGGCAGTACTGCTGGAGGCTCTCCTTGCTGCGAGCTGATGACACATAATACACCAACAAAACTGTAACTGGCAGTTACTGCTCCTAAATGTCTTCTCTTCTGATTGTTAAACCTTTGGTAAAAGTAAATAAGGTGGAAAACATTCGACAATAAATAGGTGATATTTATAATCAATATTTCAACACTGGTTTACTGAGTTACTACATTGTACGATGCCTCTTTCAGTCTGCTTTCATCACGCAAATCAGAATCATTAATTGTTATTGCATACTTGGAAATTCCTTCCCAGAGTTGTTCTTGGGAACAAATACTTCCTCATTCATAAACTTTTAAATTGCTAAAATAATCAAAACAGAAGCTTCAATGACTGCTCATCTTAATCAAATTTAATGCAGTGATCACAAAGAACACTTCTCAGTAAGTATAAAGTTATGAAATATATTGGAAGGTGGCATTCTGGATAAAGGGACACAGTTCAGATTCTCCAATGGTAACCCACCTTACTCACAATGAAACATTACTTGTGACCATGTAAACATGATATTCCCAAGTCACAACAAACATATTTCTACTTCATTATTTTAAATATCAAATATTTGGTCAAATAAGTGGTTTAAAATACATTGTTAAAATAAATATTAATTTAATTCAGAAGAAAAGCTACATTAAAATATTATTTGATATGTTGAAATTGAAGGATGAAAGTCTTCCTGACTAAAATTAATTAACAAATGTTAACATGGAAAACTGATAAGCTTATTTAAACAAGAAAATAAAACTATACTGTAATGTCCTTGTCCTGGTTTCAACTGGGATAGAGTTAATTGTCTTCCTAGTAGCTGGTATAGTGCTTGTGGTTTGGATTTAGTATGAGAACAATGTTGGTAACACACTGATGTTTTAGTAGTTGCTAAGTAGTGCTTACACTAGTCAAGGACTTTTCAGCTTCTCATGCCCTGCCAGTGAGAAGCTGGGAGGGGCACAGCCAGGACAGTTAACCCAAACTGACCAAAGGGATTTTGCATACCATGTGACACGTCATGATCAGTATATAAAATGGAGGGAGTTGGCCAGGGGCACCACAGCTTGGGAACTCACTGGGCACTGGTCAATGAGTGGTGAACAATTGTACTGTACATCACTTGTTTTGTATATTCCTTTATCATTATTATTATTCCCTTCCTTTTCTGTCCTGTTAGACTGTATTTATCTCAACCCATGAGTTTTACCTTTTTTTTTCCCCCCACACCCATTTCTCTCCCCCATCCAGCTGAGGGTGGGAATGAGCGAGCTGCTGTGTGGTGCTTAGCTGCTGACTGGGATTAAACGATGATATACTACTACTTTTCTTTTATTGTGTGCACTTGTGTTTAAATTTCACTGTATCAGACAATATTAAGGTTTTTTTACAAAAATTACATTGAAATTCATAACTATCTCTGTAAGGAACAAAAGCAACTTCAGTATTCTAAACAAACTTCAAAATAAATTGAAAAGGAAAGCCCTTACTCCTCAGGGTTTTTTGGTTTTATTTTTGTTACATTTGTTTTTTATTTTTTAATAGTACACATTTATGGTTGAATTTAAGTCTTCCACGTTACCAGTTCTCGGTAGACACCTTCATTCTTTCCCTCAGGTTTTGTTATCTTCTCTTTCTGGAACAGTTCCCTGTTTCGATTCCCTCCAGCACTCACACTGAGATTACTTCTGCTACTACCACCACCTCCTCCAAACGTCTTGGTCTTTAGATAAGCACAAAAATAACATTTCAGTAAACAGAACTTATGAAAATAAGCCTTAATATTCAGCTAGTAGAAGAAGTGCAGTAAATGTCATGCAGCTGTATTTTTTATGATTACGCTTTGCATCAACAAATAAAGCACTAATTTACACACACAAGAAAGATTAATTTATTAGGTAGGCCTTCTACTTTTTCCCCCCATGCCCAAATGAGGCTGTAAAAGGGGTATATAGTTCTAGTTTTTATGACTTACCAAACAAATTGGAAAAATAAATTAAAAAGGAAAACCAACAAGTAACATAAAAACCTGACACGTTAGAACTAAAATTCCTAGCTGATCTTGCAGACTGAATGCAGGGAATCATAGTTTTTTACAAATTGAAAAAAGCAGATGCCAACTGATAACCTGTATTTATTACTTAAATGTCATTAGCTAAATTGTCAAAGCCACATATTTTAATAGATGTATCAAATCAAAAATCTCTTATTTTATTAATCTAATAAATTTATCTACAATAAAACATTATGATACATTTATTAGCTTTATTAGAATAAGAAAATACTCATCAATCCAAAAGGACTCTCTTTTTCGGATTCAACTTTTCAAAGATACATGAGTAGTATTATAAGAAGGCAAACATCAGAAAGCATTCATCATTTAAGAAAAATATACTTAAAATAACAAAAAAAGATCGATCACAGTAAGTAAAATGGTGCAACACATGCATTCTAACCTCCTTGCTCTTCGCTACTTCTGCGATAGCAGCTGTCCTCTGCTTTTCAAATTCATCATTGTCCGCAACAGTTTTTACAGTATTTGTCATTTGCAGAGTCTTTCTGCGATCAAGCTCTCTACTGTCCACTTGCACATGAGAGGCACATTTCTGAAAATGCAGAAAAAAGTTTTAATTAACTCTTCTGCCTACTCTCATTTGAAAAAAATAAAGTATTATTCCATTGGAGTAGCACAACTTTAGCTAAAGAATACGGCTGCAACAATGTACACCTAGGCCATTTAGAGATCTTCGCTGGAAGCACAACTCCTCTGGCCCACCAGAACAGACAAAAAGGATGACTTTTACATTTTAAGCTTAGTTCATGATGTAGCTAATACGATTCTCACAAATACCTTTGTCATTTACGATGGGAATATGTTAGTGCCTACATAGATTAGACAGGAAGAATCAAAGGCTCCACATACAAAATAAAATTTTAAGTTTGAAACTGAGAGAAATAATGTTAAATATAAATTGCAAAATAAAGTGACAGGATCAATGCAATTTTTTTTTTTTTTGAAAAGGCACAGTTTTTATACTCAAATCATCATTATCTAAGGTGATAGCCTTTCTCTAACTGGAACCAGGTCCCCTAGATATGATGATACAGGTTCATTTTTTTGTTGGGTTTTTTGTTTGTTTGTGGGGTTTGTTTTTTGGTTGGTTTGTTTGTTTGTTTTTACAACCTGACAAATAGAAGTATACTATACCTGCCCAAAAGGTACAAAAGGGGGAGGGCCACCTTCTGTTCCAATGTTACTCCTATTGTGTTTTGCTAAACTCTGCAGAAGAAAATTGTTGATTAATAAACTGCAAACAAAAACCAGATTATATAATAAACATCTCTATTTCAGAAGGTACATGAAACTTGCAAGATGAACATTTTAAGCATAAAAAATAAATTCTATGATACACTTAAAATACTGGGGCACTTCACTTAAGCAAAGAGAAGGCTGGATGAAGGGCAGGAAGACAAAGAAAATTACAAAAATGTGCAGAATCATGAAGACAACACATACAGCAAATAAAGAAAACTCAGTTATACATCAGAATCTACACTAACAGAACAAAGCAGCACACAAATAGGTAGATGTTTCTTTACATAGCACCCACTGATCCTGCTGTCACTGGAGGCTGTAAAGGCATACAATTTCAGCCTGTCTAAAAAGAGATCAGACAAATTCAGCCTAGGGAAGGTAAGGTTCACGGGACCTTATGAACCTCAACACAGGCCTGAGGGGAAACTGTAAAGAAGACGGAGCGAAGCTCTTTCCAGTGGTGCCCAGTGACAGGACCAGAGGCAATGGGCACAAACTGAAACACTGAAAGTTCTCCCTGAACATCAGGAAACAGTTTTCTTACTGTGAGGGGGACCGAGCACTGGCACAGGTTGCCCAGGGAGACTGTGGAGTCTCCATGCTGGAAGATATTCAAAAGCTTACTGGACATTCCCCTGGACAACCAGCTCTAGGTGGCCCTGCTTCAATAGAGGGGACAGGTCCCTCAGGTCCCTTCCAACCTCAACCACGCTGAGATTCATGAACCCACATCTAAGCAAATCCTTTCAGGATTAGTCAGGATTGTGTTCCCTGATAATGATAATACAACAATTCTGGATGCCAAGGACGAGTAAGAGCTCAGGCTGTATGAACTTCCTAAAAAACATATCTTTTCGCCACTGTTGGAAACAAAACACTGTACCACTAAGAACATTTTCCCTATGGCCTTACGAAAAGTACAGTACCTATGCTAAATTCACCAGCATACATCTTGGGATCACAAAGACCATAACAATAAGCATAAAAATTACTGATACTTAATAGTTATACAATAGAAGCACCCTAAACTCTTAGCCACAATCAGGCAAACAGCAACCTATGCCTGACAACAAAGCATTCTCCAATAATACGAACAGTAGCCAACAACAGTAAAAAGATGAATTTGTAAATCATTGCATTCAACTATCTGTTCATAATTGATAAAACTTTTTCTTTTTCTTCATAAATTGTGAAAACAGCAGCAACCCGAAGAGAACGAAATTCACTGGAATCGACATTTGGTAATGTGTAAGCTATTTCATAATACACAGAAGTATTTGGTTTCAGAAGTGGAAAAAGGAAGAACAGGACAGGTCCCTTCATGCTGCTAAAATGCTTCAAAACCTTATTTTGTATTATGCATCCATTTTATCACCTTTATTTCTTCTTGTCCCTTTTTTCCCACTGGGACAGTCATGCATGATTATATACATCATTTACTACTCCCCACTGGCAGAGAAAGTTTTAGTTACTTAAGGCTATATACAACATTTACCTATATATTTATTACCCTGATGTAAAACCGATTTACTTCCATGATGAGAACACTATAGTATAAAAATGAGTATGCTTTAAGCCATTAGACCATCACAGAATGTCTTAAAATAGGTAAGATATTAAATTGGCTAACTAATACCCAAATCAAAACTTCTGGTCCACTTTTCATAGAATAGTTTCAGTTGGAGGGGATCTTTCAAGGTCATCTAGTCCAACCACCCTGCAAGGAGCAGGGACATTTGAACCAGGTCAAATTGCTCACAGCCCCGTCCAACTTGACCTTGAATGTTGCCAAGGATGGGGCATCCACCACCTCTCTGAGCAACCTGGGCCAGGGTTTCACCACTCTCATTGGGAAAAATTACTGCCTTCCATTTAGTCTGAGTCTACCCTCCTTTAGTTTAAAACCATTACCCTTGTCCTATCACTACAGGCCCTGCTAAGAAGTCTGTCTCCATATTTCTTGTAAGTCCACTTGAAGTACTGGAAGGCTGCAAGAAGGTCTCCCAACAGCCTTCTCTTCTGCAGACTGAACAACCCCAACTCTCTCAGCCTCTCCTCACAGGAGAGGTGTTCCATCCCTCTAGGTAATTTTTGTGGCCCGCCTCTGGACCCGCTCCAACAGGTCCATGTCTTTCCTGTGCTGAGGGCTCCAGAGCTGGATGCAGGACTCCAGGTGGGGTCTCACCAGAGTGGAGTAGAGGGGCAGAATCACCTCCTTCGACCTGCTGGCCATGCTTCTTTGGATGCAGACCAGGACATGGTTGGCCTTCTGGGCTGCGAGCACACATTGCTAACTCACGTCCAGCTTTTCATCCACCAGTACACTGAAGTCCTTCTCGGCAGGGCTGCTCTCAATCCCTTCTTTTCCCA